CTTTAAAGGAGTCAGTCTCTAAATTTTAAAATGCTGGGATGGCATGTGCCTTGCATTTGTAATAGAAGTTTTGAGAACAGAATAATCACGGGCACAGGAAGGCTCCTCCTCTTACCGTGCGGCGTCTGTAGGGCCAGGGGGCGGATGAGACTGTGAGGGTGGCCGAGCAGAAAGAGATGGGGCCACACCAAGGACGCTGAGCCCCGTTTCCCTTTGTAAATCAATTCTGTACTCTGTGTGTGAGCAGAAGGGTAGCCATGGACGAAATATACCCAGGGCCAGGAACGCCGACTGGGGCAGCTGACGTTCCTTTTGCTCTCAGCATTGTGGGCTCAGAAGAACGTGGGCTTCGGAGGCTCTGCCACTGGCTTTGTGACCGTAGCCAAGTTTCTTAGCTCCTCTGTGCCTGTCTCCTCACCTGCCAAGGAGATGTCATCTCTTTTTCACGTGGGAGTGCACAGGGGTGTGGCAACGAGTAGAGGCACGCTGCCTCACACGTAGAAGGTGCCCAGTTAGTAGAGATGGCTTCCATTGCTCTGGCATGCTTCTGAGAATTGAATTCTTAGTAAGAAACATCCATCAAAATATTTTTCTTGTGTTTATTGGTGTGTTTTTTACTGGTGAATTATGCTAGTTTAGGTTTCTTCTTAATGGTCAGGAGTTAACTAACGTTTTTGTGCTTGCAGAGTAGCGCGTTCTCGCCTCCAAGCCTTTATTCTCTGTGTTCCCCGCATCTGGACCCTGCCGCCTTGCTTTTTGCGTGTCTTCTTTCGTCCAGGCCTCTGCTCGGGTGCCGTGTCCTCAGAGGGACCTGCCCTCGCCCGCCTGGCTGATGCAGTCCACCCGCGTCGCCGGTTCTGCTTCAGAGGTTCATCGCCGCCCGGCCCCGCGCTGTGTGGCGCGTTGTTCATGGTCCAACTCCCCTGGCGCTGTGAGTCCAGGAAGGCAGGGACTTCGTTTCGTTTCCTGCGCATGGAAGTCATTCAGTGAATGTCTGGTGAATGAATGAGCGAGAGGACTTGAGAGGACTTCACAGATTGCACCTCGGCTGGTACCATAAGGAGTTTTGTCTCCCAGGGCCACCAAGAGGCCCCTGTGCTCCCCAGGGCCGAGAGTTAGCCACTCGGGGACTTCAGATTCTAGAGCAGTGAGATGATAAAGGGGAGAGATTACCAGAGGGAAGTGTGGGGGAAACAGGGATCCAGACTCTTCCCCTCTGTACTCTGCTCTACCTGCTAAATTCTGTGGTGATCCAGTCTCATCAGATCGGAGTCCCTTGAAAGATACCGCCTCCGAATGACCCTGCCCTCTTGCGTGTGTGCGTGAGAATTGGGCTGGATTTCAGGAAAGAGCCGAGGACCCGGCAGCGTGGACTCCGTGGTTGCCTCTTTGAATTCGCCAGTCCACTTAATGCCGCCGGTTTTCTGTTACTAAGTATGCAGCATATCTGTTGTTGTATTTAGAGATTTTGAAAGAGGAGGAAGGCTTGGTGGTACATGTGCGGGGGATTCTATAAAAATTAAGTAGATATAATTAGAATCTGGCAATATAACTTTTCTCTTCCCATCTAGTAGTTTTTCACCTGACTTTGGTTGTATTTAAATCTGTGTTTAAACCGAGTACTCTTGAATGCATTTGTTACGTAGATCATGATTGCGCTTTCCCTGTTGACATACAGACCTGGGGGTCTACTGCTGGCCAGCGTGTAGTCACACAGGTTAAAGTAACCAGGGTTGATACAAACGCTCCAGTATTATTGTAATTGATACTGGGCCACCCTGTCAACATTTTAAGGGCTAATCTGTTATAGGAAGATTATTAAAATGATGACCAGCTTATTGTCCCTTAATTACCTCTGTTGCAAGTGATACTGTGACTTTAGTCTTGGTATATCTGGGGCAGTTTTTGTTGGTTTTTTTTTTTTTTTTAATTAAAGATTCCAGCTGCAAAGTGTTGTTGCCAGGGCAACTAGACTGAAAAGCTTATTAATTAACTTAAGTGTTATATGTAGATTTGTTAAGACACCATCGGGAAAAAGTCAGGAGAGGCTTCTTTTCAAATGGAGAAAATTAAAATTTCGGAGGTAATGTCAGAAAAGCCTTCTGAATGATGGGAAATACATGGTTTAGCTGTAGTTTTCTTCTCAATTTCTTCATGAAAGAGATAAAATAGAGACATAGATGACTAAATGAAATCTACTGGAAGACTTATTTTCAAACAGACTGAGAAAGAAGGTATCAGAGAAGCAGCTCCTGATGCTATGGTAACCGACGTCGGGTGAAAGTCGCAGGCTGCGCCTGGCTGGGGGCAGGGACGGGCGCTGGGTGAGTGAGGCTCTGGGTAACCTAGTGAAAGGTGAACGGGGGGTTGAGAGAAGAGAAGGGTAATAGATAAGAAGGTTAACAATTACAAAACGAAAGGAAAGATACAGATCTTAGACATCTAAATTATTTGAAAGCATTATTTTACAGTTTGCCAAGTCAGCATAGACAGGCTTGAGTCGTATGCCTGCTGGTCATGAAGTTAACAACACAGTCTTGAAAATTCAAAGTACAAACTGTTAGAAACACAAGAAGTTAGGGGTTCATAGTGGAAGATTTATATAGATCCTTCCAGGAAAGTAGATTAAAATTGTAATCTAATCTAATGAATGTCATAAAAAACTTGATTTGATAGATTTGTAAGTTTGTATTCAAAAAACAGAGGACATGATCTTTTCAGACATCTATGTATTTTAAAGTTGGCCTTAGGCGCCACGCATGCCAAAAAACCCAAAAACATTAAAAAAAAAAAATCAAAAAATTTACAGAAGTAAAAGACTGTGTAGCCTACATTCCCTGGCAACAAGACAATAAAACTATAAATTAAAAATCAAAAGGAAAGCAAAAAAAATCCCTGCAGAAATTCAACAGCGTTCTTTTAGAAAGTTTTTATTAAAGAGGAAACCAAAGTTGAATTATAGATTATTTAGAAGTGAGTCACACTGTGAGTATAATGCATATCAAAATTTAGACTGTAACCAGAGCAATATTTGGCTGAAGAATTAAAACCATCATTAAAATTATTAGCATTCTCAGAAAATAAAACAGACGCAAACTAAGCATTAATCTTAAAACACTAGAGAAAAATCCAGCTCATTAACAAGAGTAGGAATGAAGTGCTATTTGCAGTTAAAGTCACAGAGCTCTTAGTAACTGTGAGACCACGTGTTCGTGTCAGCCAGCGACGCCGTCTGCTGAGTGCAGTTTACAAACTCGGTCCCCGTTCAGTCAAGATTCACTCTCTCACTCGGCTTTTCACTTTGTTCTGCCCACACTGACGGGGATCCAGGATGGAATTCCTCTTTACTGCTCTTCTCAAAGCAATTGCCTGGGGTTAGAATATGAAAATAAGATATATGCATCCTCCATCTATCCTGCTGCTGCAACGCTGGCCCCCATGCTGGTCCTGGGACACACGGGCGTGCTGTCCCTCTGCAGGGTGGCTCTCCCAGCCACCCCCACCCCCACCCCTCACTCCTTCCAATCTTTGTTCATGTGTCAGCCTCCAAGTGATGCCTGTTCTCACCAGATTGTACCTGCCCCCTCTTCTTCCATGCATTCTAATCCCCCCTTGCTCTATTCTATTTTTTCCCCGTAGCACTTACCACCCTCAACTGTCTATAGAGTTTGCTTGTTTATAATGTTTATTGTTTACTTTCTATCACCCTCCACTGCATTGTAAATTTTTTGAGGTCAGGGATGTTTCTTCTGTTTATGCTGTACCCCAGGCTGCTGGAACAGCAGGCCCTCAATACGTGTTTTTGAATGAATTTGCTAGAACTATGAGCATGAAGACTTTCCTAGACTATGTTTTGATTAGACAGGAAGTAGACAAGGAAATGGGCAGTGACATGAAAGATACAGCAGTTAAGATAGAAAAAGACCCAAGGAACACTTGGTTTTAGAAGTAGACCGACTTTTGTAATATAAAGCACTAAGTGAGCTGACAATGAGGAGGCCTGGATTGTAACTGAGAAGACTGTAAGCTGGATCTAACCCTGCTCTGTGATTCTGTGCGCGTTTTACATTAGGAAAGACAGAGCTTATGGTAACGGACCCCAGCACTACATGACACTGTGTTCACCCAACGTTTTCTGAACTCGTTCTCTCCCTTCCCTCCCCCAAGGTCACAGGGCTACAATGATGTGCTTTTGGTTTACTTTGGTCTTTTCCTCGAGGACCTAATGTTGGTATAGGTTTCTTAAAAGCTTGAGGCGAGAAGCTGAGGTATGGACTGAGGGCTCCAGAAGCTAGGGCTTTGCTTGATTGATTTCCATTTCTAAAACTGAGGCGCAGCCTTACATCAAGACATCCTACTAGAGAAAAGAGAACGTGGAGCGTTTGATAATCTCGGCTAGAGACAGAAACATACCAGCTGTCATTTAGGGAAATTACATGGGAATTTGGCTCATATTCTACCTTCCTGAGATTCCACATCATGGAATCATAGAATCTTCATAAGCTCATCTCAAAATTCAGAGCATGGAGGTGGAGCTCTTCTACCTTGTCTCCAGTCCCTGAAGTAGCCAGGATTTATCTGTGGATCTATTTTGGTATTGAAGCCTGCACTCTTTTCAAAGAACAGCCCTTAAAACTCCTTTTAAATTCAAAGATCTCTCATGTAGTCAGCGATGGAGTCCAGTTTTCAGGTTCTCCAGGTCCTGTAGGCGTCTTCCGTTTGCATTTCTTCACCTTGGTCAGTGTGTTGGGCATTGGTTGTTCCACACAAGTGAGAGGGGAGATGGAGGCAAGGCAGCTTCAGCCTCACATTCTGGGGTCATGAGCACCTCTCAGGGGAGATTTCCATGGCTGGCTAAGCCGAATGTGAGTGAGGGTTCCCGCCAGATCTCCCTCTCTCCCGGCCCCCTTGGTTAGCGAATGGATCGGTAGGACTGCCCGCGCTCAGGGAGGTGCCCCCCAGCGCCCGGGCATGTGCTAAATTCTTTCTCTCCCATTCAGAAGAGAAGCCAGATTGCTCCAAGGCCCGCTGTGAAGTCCAGTTCTCTCCGCGCTGTCCCGAAGATTCCGTTCTGATCGAGGGCTACGCTCCCCCCGGGAAGTGCTGCCCCTTACCCAGCCGCTGCGTGTGCGACCCTGCGGGCTGCCTGCGCAAAGTCTGCCAGCCGGGATTCCTGAACATACTAGTGTCAAAGGCCTCGGGGAAGCCGGGAGAGTGTTGTGACCTGTATGAGTGCAAACCAGGTACGCACGCGCCTCAGCAGCAGCTGCTCCTTCGCGTCGGAGGGCAGCAGGCCCCTGCGCAGCCAGCCGGGTCTCTCCTTCCGTGGGGAGAGGGGCACTCTCGCCCCACACGGCCAGCCCGCCACTTAGGGCAAGGAGCCCGACTCCTGGCCTCCTGGTCAGAGAGCCAGAGAAATCACTCACTGGTGCAGAAACGCCTCCAGAGGGGGACCACGTCTGTTTCTCTTTTCTTCTTTCCCCTCTAAGTGCGCTTGATGGGAGAGGTGGGGTTAAAATTTATGCTGTCTGCTACTGCATTCCCCCAGAAAAGGTCATAGCCTTCATTTGCAGATTTATCTGTTACTTTAAATTATTACATTTAAAACAACCATCATACATAAAACAGGAAGCTGTTTTTAGGTACATACATGCATCAAAATGCCAGACGTTTTATAAGGAAATGCTCTGCCCCAGTCTTTCCTCTTGTCCCCCCCCCC